CAATAGATAGAAAAGGAATAAAATTACAGACTCATATATCTAAAAAGATAGAAAGCTTTCCAAATGAATTAAAATTCAAACAACAAATACAAAAATTTTTAGAATGTTTAAACTATGCTGAAAGATTTATTGAAAATCTCTCAAAAAAGAGACATAAGATACAAATTCTACATAGGAAAATAAATACTAAAGGTTGGAATAAGGAACATACTGAAATTGTTAAATCATTAAAACAAGAATGTAAAAATTTACCAAAATTAAGATTACCATATGAAAAAGATAATCTAATTGTTAATATTGATGCCTCGGATAAATATTGGGCAGCTATATTAAAAACAGATTTAAATGAAATATGCAGATATTCAAGTGGAACTTTTAACCAAGTAGAAATAAATTATATTACTCGTGAAAAAGAATTGTCAGCAATTGTTAGAGGAATAAAAAAGTTTTCATTATTCCTTTTATCTAAAAAATTTATTGTTGAAACTGATAATTCTCAAGTTGCAGGACTTATTGGAAATAAATTACCTATGGAACCTCAATATAGAAGGTTACACAGATGGCAAGCATATTTATCATTCTACAATTTTGATATTATTCATATTAAAGGAATAAATAATTATCTTGCAGATTTTTTGAGTAGGAATATCGAATTCGAAGATGGATAATATCAAAAAATTCATTAATGGACGTCAAAAGACGAATGAAATTCCTCATGAAAGAATCAGAAGATATGAAAATTGGAATTGAGCAATTAGAGCAAATGGTAGAATCTATCCAACAAAATGTCAAATTGCTGGTGGAAATCTCTAACTCTCATTCCAAATATACCAAAGAATTGAATGATAGAATTGATGATATTACTTCACGATTCGAGTCATTAAATACCAAACAGGAAATACCAATAGATACAATTTCAAAAATACAAATAGGCACACAGCCAGGAAGCAGCAGTGGACCCAGCAATATCAAAAGAGATATAGCAAATCCCCGGTAGGTGACTATAAAAAATGGTGATGAACATACAAGAGTTATCACGATCAAAACTGATGAAGATGATGATACCCCTTTATCATCAAAAAAAGAAAAATATAGATCATTTGCCAAAATTGTTTATGAATTGGAAGAAAATGAATCATATTTTATTGCATCAGGAGATCATGTTTATCCCAGATTAATAATTACCAAAGATGCAGACCCTTTCATGGTCAAAATGACAGCAGATTATGGATTTCCGGATTTGATCTATTCAGGAAAAGATTTAAAAGAAATTGAAAATTTTGATGATATATTCAGGGCAGAAGTTTCAAAATTTGCCCAAGGGAGATCGATTTATATCAAATTTTATTCAATAAGTTTCGAGGTTGATGGAAGGATATACTATCTTGCTGAACATATTATCACAATTGGATATGTTGGTTGAGATTTTCAGATTGAATTTGGCCGAAATAATAAACCATTGCCTAAAATTAATAAATCATGGATAAAATTTCGAAAAGTTTTGGGGATGAAAGTTCTTTATAACATTGCAAAAAACTTATATGATAAAAATTTCAAACGCTTATGTCAATATGAAAGATGGACACTCCTTACGAATAATGGAAAAGAAAAATCTACTATTTTGAAAGAATATATCCAGAAATTTGATACTCATCAAATTAATAGAAGTCTTACAACAATCCAAGAATCATACAGATTGAGGGAGTGCCCCACATGCAAACAAGACTAAAAAGATTGATAAAAGATGAATGGAAGGGGATCTACCACTACCAAAACATCTAACCAGTTGCATATGGAGCCAAAGATGGAGAGACAATAATAGAGGAAAAGATGCCTCTTTGATGAAAAAGCAAAAAACGCATGTGAAAATGTAGACCCCAGGAGGAAAATAATAGAAAGGCATGTGAGCCTTTTCAAATTCTGATGTATGCAATGATGTAATAGACCAATAATAACAAGTTCGAGTCATGTATAAATAGAGGTCTTTGGGGGAAAGAATGGATCATCTCGAGTTAGAAACCATTCTCTTTCCTTAAACTTTCTTTTAAAACCAATTTTTTTGGAAACCCCTTGTATATAATAGAAATCTTGTATAAATCATTATAGAAATAAAATTCCAATCTTTTGATATCAGAAACATATGAGTTTCTAAACTTCCTAACCCGTAGATTCTTGACAGATTGAAGAAGATAATTTCTTTCTTACTTTAACAAAGAGAGAATTTTCTCTACTTAAGATCCTTATTTTTAATTCTAAGAAAAGATATAGTGAGGGCAAGAAGTTGAAATAGCAAAATTCTCATTAAGGCAAAAGGCCGTTTGAGGGAGCAGTTTGCAGATTCAGAGTTTGAAGGTCACTCGATTCTAAGAATACAAATTTAAGATCAAAAGTAATGTAAAATTATTATTTTTGTTAAATTTAGAAAGAATTCTTCTAATATCTTAAAAGAATCATAGAAATTATTACTTATCATATTTGCAAAAACTTATCTATCATGTTATTATTATTATAAAACTTGTAAGAAATTATCTATATGATGCCAGGCTATATAATTAAAGGATTAGATAATCTGTTAGAAAGACTATTAGAAAAAATAGAAAATATTTTTTCTCAACTAGAGACTATGGATATATCATCTAAAGAATATGATAATCTTAAAAAATTATATGACAATTATATTACAGATTATGCTAATTTATTTGATCAAAGAATGGAACTATATATTAAAATTCAAAATAAGAGAGATAGAAGAATTTTGAAACTATTTCAATAAACTAGGATATTTTGTTCAAAATATGGCAAGCCATTTAATTAAGGGTAATATAGACATTTTAGTAAGAATGAATAGTGATAGACCATTTAGAAAACCCCCCATTTACATTGTAAGAGATTTATTTTTTTTATTTTTTAAGTTTTTTTATGGGAGCGTTGACTTCTCGAATAAATCAAAGTGGAATAATTTGATTCCATAATTAGTGAAGAACCAATATTTTCATTGCCATTAATTATTTGTTCTCGATTCGATTCAATTCTAAAGAAAATTGCCGAATCACTCCCCATCAGATTAAATATCCTGAAGACATTCGCCCCCAGGGCACATCTCCAAGTGGTAAAAGAGGAGGGTGGAGAAATCCAACTTTGCTTGAGGCTGCTGCGTTAAGGGTTCGAATCCTAAAATATGAATTTGGCTCTTGGGTAAGTGCAAGTGTACAAGCAGCCTTCCACCCTATACCCTTGGAGGCATAACCTGCGATTTACCTCCCTTACGATACTCCAGGGCAGAGGTGGTGGGGAACCCTTAAAGTTAGGGTTTAACCTTTAAATATCCTGAAGACATTCGAAAGGACTAAAAGTAAAACTAAAAATAAAAATAAAAACAATAACAAAAACAAAAACAAACGAATAATCCACCTGGAAAATGTATAGAATTTCGTAGCCAATAGCGGAAGGCCAAAATCTCCCATCGCTGATCCTAAACTGATCTCCCATTTCGGCATTTCCACCTCTTATTATTCCTGTTCTCCCCAAACTAACAAAAATCATGGACCCCCTAAATTCACCTCTATCCTCGTCTTGACATGTCTCCGCCGCCGCAGCTACCACCACCACCACAACTACCAGCTTTACCGTCGTCTTACCACAACCTTCTTAACAAAACGAAGTCGCTCCCTGACGTTATTTTCACCGTCTTCTCTTTATTTGTTCTCTTCTCTTCTTCTCCTAAACCCACATCCGTTTACTTTCTCCCCAACAACAAAGTCTCTTTCCCATTGAACCCCCGGAGATTCCTCAAATCTCCCACCATGTCCTCCCCCTTACGAAACCCTACAAACCCTAGAAACCGTCCCTTTGCAACCCCTCAGTCTTTATCCGATTGGCTGAAGCCTCGGCTTCCCTCCGATTCCTTCGCCTCGTGGGGGATCAAGCCGGGAACGAAGAACGTGCATAACTTATGGCTCGAAATCTCTGAAGGTGAAACCTTGCTCGCCGATTCTACCCCTCCCGTCCGCACCGTTGAGGTTGTGATCGTGCGAATTATTCGAAATGACGGGAAAATCCTTGTAGAATCACACCAGGAGTTATCCAACGGTGACGTCCGTACCCGGTGCCGGCCCTTGTCGGAGAAAATGAAGCCTGGAGAATCCATAGAGGCGGCCGTCTTTAGAGCAGTTAAGGAAGAGCTGGGATCCATAATTGAAAATGGGGATTTTCAGAGTTTTGATAATAATGATTATGATATTAATGGCATAGTGAAAATTGTGCCGAATTCTTATGTAAAGAAGGTGGAGGAGAGGGCTTCTGCATCGTATCCGGGATTGCCAGCTTGTTACGTATTGCATACCGTGGATGCCGAGGTGGATTGGTTGCCGGGAGGCGAATTCTGTACAGAGGAGGAGGAGGAATACGGGAATTTTGATGGGAGGAATATAGCGGATAGTGCAGTTCATTGTAAAAAGCATTACTGGAAGTGGGTCGATTCTAATTCGGTTTGACATTTAATTGCTGGAGGAGGTGAGTTTCGAACTCCCAATTGCAGCTTGAGTTTTGGATATTGTTAGTATATTTGTCAATGGTACAGTAATAGTTGTTCTGTATCCTTTCTATGAAAGTTTTGCTCTTGTGAACACGAGATGATAACGTTTATGCTGAAACTCTGATAGTATAGTTGTTAAATTAACTCGAGAAGAATGAAAGCTTGACCCCTGGTTCAATTTTGTTAAGATCTTCCTTACTTTCTTTGCATGCATTACATTCAAGTGAATTATGATTTATCATCGTTTCTTGTAATAGCCCAGCATGTGTGGTTGATTCGTCAATTGAACGCTTAAAAACGATGTGTACTGTACCTGTGCTCGGTGCTTTTTCACTATCATAGCTTAAGCTGATGGTCTTGTCTGCTTGTGCATCCTCGTCTTTTTCTTGTTTGTAGATTTCTAATCTCCTAAAGCATCTATCCTCTATGTTGTGATTGCATTTTGAATCGTTTCTCAAATCTTTCTAGGTTTTAGATATTAGTATTAGCTTGTAGACATTCCAGGGTCCTCGAATTAAAAAATTATGTTTCGGATGGATGTAAAGTTCCTTTCTACTATATTCAGTTAGGATTAGTAAGCTCTTCCATGACGAACTATTGACACCAGTCCTTCATTTTGTCTTTGTGGACAAAGGAAAAAAGGGACTCATCGTGTATAAGAGACAAGCAAGGATTTTAACCTTTTTCAATATGCAACATAAATTCTGTCAATGGCAGGCATGGTGCACATGTCGGTGGCGGTGGTGAGCGAGCAAGAGGTGAAATCAATCCTATTCATCCTAGCAAATGATCTGAACCCATTTTGTTGAATGAATGGAACCATGAACCATGCTGTGTACTCCGCTACCCTGATGGCCAGCTAGAATGTATTTATAGAATCATCATCCAAAAGAGTATGGATTTGGGTGCCGGGTCTGAACTACTCCATACCGATCCTATTTGGATTAATGCCCATATTAACCGAAAGAATGACCATGAAACAAGTATCATGACCACTATCTAATTGACAGATGTAAACATGGCATAGGGCGAGACATAACTTTTGCAAACATTGAACTTCTGGCTAGTTGTTGTTTGGATGGCGGAAATGGATGAGAAAAGGTGGCGTCAAAATGGACAGTGGAGGAGGGGCTAAGGTCTACCAGGAGAAGCGATTATCAGTGGTTGGGGATAAGAATTTTTATTTTATGTTGTATTTGACTCATCCTGTAGTTCTATATGCATTATCAAAGGGCCAAGGTCTTAAATACAGTAACTTCTGCGTTTGAGGACTTGAAAATTCTGAACCACCGTTGTGGGAGTGTAGAAGGATGAAGAGCTCAGACTCTCAAGGTGCGAGTGCATGGATCACTTTCTTATGTTACGTAAAATCTCGATTTAGGTCGAAACCCAACAACTCAATGCATTTACTGCAATCCCTTGTGGCATGTTTGCTCTGGAGAATTGGATAGTACTATTTAATATAAAGACCTTGTTTGAAAGCGATTTTTTGAGAATCATTTTCCTCCCTCACTTATTTTCAATTATACATTCTCCAATAATTATTTTTCACGTTTTTCCTTAATTTTTTCCTCAATTTTTAACCAAATGTTCTTTAAAATAAAAAATGAAAAATTACCTTTTGAAAAATCCCTTGTTAAAAGATCTCTCCCGCACTAGTGATAAGAAAGAAAAATAAATTAAAATCTTGTTTATTATACTATCACGGGGCATGCCAAACACTCACTTGGTGAGATGTGAAATATGCTGATGATCTGCTCCTTGCCTCGGTTGACTTTCAAGCCTTGATTATGTTTAGCACAGTGAACTCTGTAAAATCTTTTGATTATGAATAATTTGAGGCCCTTAAAACAGAATCTGTACTTTGAGTTCTTGAATATTACACTTGGGTTCGAATTTGGCGGAACATCAACTTGTGGCAACAATAAAAACTGACTCGGATGTTAGGGTGCGAGTGGGAATTCCCAGTTGCCTGTCCTGTCACAGGGCAGCTCAAGAAATTCATATAAAATTAATTGTATTGAAATTGAAACACTACATCGCAACATAACCGCAAAAATAGCATTCAAAAGGCTTCTTAAGCACATAAGAGGTACATAAGCTCCTAGGATAAATGCTGACTGCCATTATTACTAAGGTCCTTAAGAAACCTAATTATGAGAAAAATTTCAGGTTCAACTTTATCAATCAAAAATTTAACTCAGCCCTGAAGCAGCGACGAGTACTAGTTCTTCCCTTTCATCAGCTCTCACGTGACTGCAAAAAGGAAATTCCTAAGCAATGTAGTCGTCAAATATTAACAATAACAACAAAGTAAGTCATGTTAACTATCGTGAATTCCCCCCCTCCTAGAAATCACATCCATCAATATTTCATAACTCTTCGGATCACCAATCTTGAAATGCTTTACCTGCACCCATTTGCAAAAATTATACAAAAGACTCAATAGCTTATGTTAAGCCTCGTATCCGAAGCTCTCAGTGTAAGCCTCGTTGAAGTCATGTGGAGGCACTACGTGCAGACATCTGGCAGCCAACAAAATCAAAATAAAGAAAAGAAAAAAGCTAATCTCTTTTGTCGAAGCACTATCTCCATCCGAAGTTCTTTGTTGGAACACTATTTTTCTACCCTTCTGAAGCCCCTCTTTAAGTCGAAGCGCTTACTGCCTTTAAAGCGGATCTGCAGAGTATCTGTTGTTGGAATTAAATTTTTGATCATGCTAAGAATCAAGAATCACATATAATTATAAATTCATAAATCGAATTCATACTTGCGAAAACAATTGTTGAAATGAATAATAATTGTAATAGTAATAGCAGACAGATCTTCCCCTCCTTACTCCTCACAAAGTATTAGCTATCAATGGAGTAAGCTAATACAATAATAATGGAGAGGAGAGGGGACCTAGCCTTTATATAGGAAATAATTGAGCCATCTCATTACGACTAGAATTTTAATTAGGGTTTATTTTCAACCCACATACTTAAAAATTACCACATCATATTAATTATAACCCGTAGGGTGTAAAAGGTACAATTGACCACTTAATAAATTTGGCCCAAATACAAATATCATTATGAGTCATACATCTAACCCCTAAAATTTGCAATCGAATGTGAAGCCCATATATGAAATTATTCCAACATTTTCCCACTTGGGCAAACATTTGATTGCTATAACAAAGTTTTAACACCTGTGTTAGATTACATAGGTGACCACAAAAGTATAGCTCTAATTATGACACCTTATGTAACATGATCCGATCCAACAAGAATATTAGCACCGAACATGGAAGTCGTTACACCAATTAAGGGATGTAAGACCATTCCACAACTACAAATGTCAACATCTTTATCGACATGGATCCCCATCCTCCAACCAATGTGGTAGTATGTGGTATGAACTTAGCACCAAATGTGATAAAAAATTGTGTTAATTCATATCGGTCCTCATAATGCTTCGGATCAAAACGAAGCCACTTATCTCTAAAAGAGACTCATCTTATTCCTTTATATGTCATATCTCGAGATCACAATAATATTATAATAAAAATACATAAGTTAAATGCAAGCTCAAAATAGTTCATGGATAGGAGAAAAATATTTTATTATCAGAAGGAACTGTATTCGAAAACATATGGGTTGCCTATGTATCCCGTAAAGGGATCAAGCCCAAAATGTAGTTCTTTATATATATAAAACTCCCACTAACCAAAAAATCAAATGTTTCCACAATACACATATTAAAAACATGTGTCTTAAAAACTTTTGGAGCGAGTTCCTTAGTCAAGGGATCTGCAATCATTGTCTCTGTATTAATATGTTCTTTTTTCGTTTGTCCTTTTTTGATTCTGTCTCTAACAACCAAATATTTGATGTCAATATGTTTTGACCCACCAGAACTTTTATTATTCTTTGAAAAGAATATTGCTGCATTATTATCACAGTAGATAGTGATCGATCTTGAGATGGAATTAACAACTTTCAAGCTAGAGATGAAATTTCTTAACCAGACGGCTTGGACTGTAGCCCCATAAAATGTCACAAATTCAGCTTGCATAGTAGAAGATGCTACTAGAGTCTGTTTAGCAATTTTCCAAGAGATAGCACCACCAGCTAATGTAAAAATATAACCTGAGGTTGATTTCAAATCATCTTGACATCCAACAAAATCAAAATCTGAATATCCTACCACCTCAAAATGTTTTGAACGCTGGAATGTAAGCATATAACTTTTAGTTTGCTTCAAATATCTCATAACTTTCTTAACTACTTTCCAATTCTCTTGTCCTGAATTAGACTGAAATCTGCTGAAGACACTGACTGCATAAGCTATATCCGACCTAGTACAAACTTGAGCATACATTAATCTTCCCACAACACTAGCATATGAAATCATCTTCATAGACTCCCTTTCCAGCTCATTCCTTGGACATTGAGTTTTGTTAAACTTGTCTCCTTCTATGATAGGTACATCACCAGGTGCACAGTTCTGCATATTAAACCTTTCTAGAACACGTCGTATATAAGCTTTCTGAGAAAGTCTCAGTAAGCCACGATATCTATCACGATGTATTTCAATGCCAAATACATAAGAAGTTTTTTCCAAAATCTTTCATCTCAAAATTAGCAGACAACATTTTCTTTATCTCATGAAGCAACCCTAAATTACTGTTAACAAGCAGAATATCATCAACATACAGTACAAGAAAATAAAATTTCTCCCACTGGTCTCGAGATAAATGCATTGATCAATAGTATTTTCAAAAAAAATCAAGAGAGGTCACAATCTCATCAAACTTTAAATAACACTGTCGAGATGCTTGCTTAAGTCCATATAATAATTTGTTTAACTTACATACCAATTTCTCTTTTCCTTTCACAACAAAGCCTTCAGCTTGTTTCATATAAACCATTTCAAAGAGATCTCCATTTAAAAATGTTGTCTTAACATCCATTTGACAAAGCTCTGAATCGTAGTGTGCCACAAGAGCCATGATAATTCAAAGAGAATCTTTTGATGAAACAGGGAAGAAGGTTTCAACATAATCAATGCCCTCTCGTTGAATGAAACCTTTTGCAACCAATCTTGCTTTCTTTCATTCAACATTTCCTTTTGAATCTAATTTACTTTTGAAAATCCACTTGCTATCTACAACCTTAGCATCTGGAGGAAGTTCAACAAGATCCCAAACTTTATTCCTCTCCATGGAATTCATTTCATCTTTCATGGCAGCTATCCATTTATCTGCCTCTGGACTTGCCAACGTTTGGTTATAAGTTACAGGATCAACAATATGCCCAATATTAAAATCGTTCTCCTATAAATATGTAATATAATCACTAGACAATGCAGATCTTCTTTCCCTTTGTGCTCTCCTAACTTGTAGCTCAGAAATCGATTCAATCGTTGTTTGAGGAATTAGAAGTTCCTCTTGGTTCCTTGGTTCTTCATTAACAATTTCAATTGGTTGAGAACCAACTCTTTCCTATATAACAGGAACTGGAACAACAACTTGATTAGGCTCAACAAGAATTCCTCTCAACGTGGAACTCCTACCATCTCCAAAATCATTCTCCAAAAACTTAGCAGTAATGGACTCCACAATTCTAGTGCCACGATTTGGATAGTAAAATTTATATTATTTTGATCTGTCCGGATCCCTAATAAAGTAGCCAGGAGTTGATTTAGAATCTAATTTCTTATCAAATGGATTATAAATCCTAATCTCAGCTAGACATCCCCAAATTTTAAAGTGAGCCAAACTTGACATACGTCATGTCCATAATTCAAAAGGTGTCTTTGAAACAGCTTTACTTGGAACTCTGTTCAAAATATACATTGCAATTTTCAAAGCTTCACCCCACAAATATTCAAGCAAATTTGTTATATTCATCATACTTCTAACCATATATTTTAGAGTTCGATTACGTCTTTCAGAAACACCATTCTGTTCGGGTGTCCCTGGCATGGTGTATTGGGGCACTATTCCAGATTCTTGTAAAAACTTTGCAAAATCACCCATATTTTGATCAGACTCATCATATTTTCAATAGTACTTACCACCACGGTCAGACTTCACAACTTTGATACTTTTTTCACATTGTTTCTCTACTTCCAATTTGAAAACTTTGAATTTCTCAAGTGCATGTGATTTATAGTTAATCAAGTAAATATATTTATATCGTGAGAAATTATCAATAAAAGTTATGAAGTATTTATTCCCACATATAGTGGAAAACAAAGGTTTACTGA